GCGGCGGCACCACCTGTGGGGGCGGGGGCGGGGCGGGGGGGCGGTTTGCAGCCGAGGCAGGGCTTCCCCCGCCGGACGTGACATCACGCCCTCCTCGGGCCAATCAGGGGCCTCCCCGCCCCCAGCCGAAATCTGCACCCCTCTCTTCTCCATCCTTCGCTCTGCCCGTCTGGTTCCCTCGGCACCAGGTCCGGAGCCTTCGGAACGCTCCTCCGTTCCGTGGGCTCCCCGCTCACCTGCACACCCCACCCCCAACAGCTCCTAGGGCCCCAGGCCCCTTCTGGTCGCTTCTGCGACGTTCCAGTAGTTGCCTGACATATCTGAGGAAGAGGATGGGGGGAGGGGGGGGCTGTACGCGGGAATCTGGCCAGGAAAGTAGCCTTCACCCGCTCCAGGTCCTTCCCGGAGGCAGCGGGTGGCTTAATCGTTGCTCATTGTCAGCGGTGTATCGGGCCCCCATCGTGACCCTCTAGGTGCTTTAGAGACTAAACCAATGGGGCAGAGGCAGGTCTGTGGCCTTGGGTGCTGGAGAGTGGAGGGTGACTTAAGGGTTACGGTGAGGAGAGTGCAGGAATCACACCGGGCAGCCTTTAGCTGCAGAGCAGAGCTGCATGGAGGGTCCGGAAGGGAGGCTCGGTGCCTGGCACCCCACCTGAGCGCTCGCGGTGCTGTGTCCAGGCAAGGCTGGTGCTGGTCCCTCCTCCGAGTACCTCTCTCCGGTGGGCAGATGCCCAGAGGCCATCTGAGACCACACAGTGAACCCAAGTACCTCATCTGGAAATGGCAACAGAGAACTAAAATCTAAGATGCGGCAGAGTGCAGAACCCTTGGGCTCTTCCCAGTCAGGGCCTATGGATTGTGGTAACACTCAGTCCTTCGTGCCTCAGGCTTGTCTGGGCTGAGATGGAGGAGAAAAGTGCCTTCCCCAGAGGGGTTCCTAAGCGGTTGGCCCAGCAACCTCAGGGGTTCATGGTTTCCTGCCCTCCTTCACCCGGGCATCCAGTCACTGCTTGAGTGACAGCCAGTGGGCACCCAATCTAAGGAAGGGGATCTGTCCTCTTCCCCTGCACTGCAACACCTTTCATGACTCACCAACCCCTGTGCCCTGCGTGCTGGGGCGGATTCTTCTTGCCTGGACCTGGCCAGGCTGCCTGTACATCTGCCCCAGGCCAGCCTGGCTGTGTGGTCTGGCCTCCCACCACATGCCTGAGGATTAGGAGTGGCCTCTTGGCAGGCCAGGGAATCTGGACTCAGGGTTAAACCTAGGCTGAAGCTCAAAGGGACCACCTCTGTGAACTGTGCTGTCAGCGTCGCAGGCCAGGCTGGGTGGTTTCTCAGGTCAGGGTCCGTGTCCTGGCCATTTCTGGGCCCTGAATGGCAGATCTGTAGAATGTTGGTCCCAGCAGTGCTGCTGGCCCAGGTGACACATTGTGTAGGACGGCTCCCTCTCCAAAAGAAATCCTCACCACCACCAGGTGTAGCATCGCCACCATCCCACAAATCACAGGACTGACAGGTTCTTGACATCGAGGGAGACATATGTTTAAGTAGCACGGGGTCTGCTGTGGGACTGAAGAAGTCTGAAGGCAGCATGTAAGGGCTGGGCAGCCCCCCCCAGCAGCCTCCCCTTTCCTGCGGAGTGGGACACCTGATGTGGGGCCCAGAGGTGTATCTGCCTCACCAAGGTGAAATTTCTCTTCCCACTTATGCTGGTCCAGACCTGATAGAAAGTGGCAGAAAGCTCTGGGAGGGTCTGTCTCCTCAGTTGGGTGGCACCTGAGCTAACTTACTTGCCCCAGCCTTGGATGAAAGGAAACAGACCTGGGACCCAATGGGGCCCACTCTTCAGCATCTACATTGAGTGGCTGAGCTCACAGCTTAGTGTGCACATCTCCCCTGAAGAGGGAAGAAGAGATGCTTACTATGATGTCTGGGACATGTCACATGCAAGAATCAAGGTGTCCCACTGTTGGGGTCTGTCCAGAGTTCACAGAGGCCCTGCCTGTTCCTCTCAGCTCTAGGTGGGCAGGACAGGAACAAAGAGGCTGGCAGGGGGCGACTGGCCAGGCAGTAGGAGACAAGAGGCTCTCACAGCAGAGGGCTGTTGAAGCTGTCCAACTGGGCTGAGGTGGCCAGGTCTTGGGAGGAGCAGAGAGATGCTGTCCCCCATTGCCTCCTTCTTCTCATCTGTGCTCCCCACCCATGCCTTCTTCCTTGCTAACCCCGCTTCACCAAGAAGGAGGAATGGTCACCTTTTAGAGTAACTGTTGCTAGGGGAGGTTTCTGGGACTGCTTTGTTCTGAGACAGGAGCTGCCCTTGCCAGACCCTGCCCTAGTGGTTATTGGGCTCCAACTACAAAGATTTGGCCACACACAGGGCAGCCCAGGACAAAAGCTACCCCTAGCCAGGCCAGGGCACAGCTTCGCACAAGTGCCCCTTGGGGTGTGAGGAGCCAAGGCTGGGCTTTCACCTGCTTGGGGCTGCCTCCTGTAGCAGTTGGGGTTGGGGTTGTAATGAGGGGTTCTGGGAGGGTGGGTGCTCAGGTGGCTGCACGCGGGGCACAATGGCCAGTCTGAGGAGGATGCTATCGCTGGTTCCAGCCACTGCCGTGGCCCTGTGGCCCTGATCAAGACTCCTCTCCTTGTCTGCCCAGAATGTGGCAGAGATGTGTGACAGAGAGCAGCAATGAATGGATAGGGGAACAGATCAAGGGGGAAGCTGCATTCCTCTAAGCCAGATGAAAGTGGGCCCTGCATTTCTGTTGTTGCAAAGTGTAGAGCTGAGGAGAAAGGCCCACAGAGTGCTCAGAGGACTGATAGGCTGTGATTGGTCCACCAGGTGGAGGATACTGAGCCCCAACTGCTCAGCGGAGGTGGGGACAGACCGAGGGTCTGCTGGTTCCTGGCAGGCCCGCTAGTCTCCCTTCTTTCCTGTGACTTGGCTCTGCCGCTCCCAGCTGGTGGGGCCAACATGTTTTGTGTTCTCTGGCTTCGTGATCATCTTTCAGTGACTCCAAAAGCAAGTTCCAAAGAGACAGTGGAGTCACTGAGGTCTATCCTGGGTGCAGAGCAATGCCTGGAGGCAGGAGGGGTCAGATGGCATGGACTATGGTTAGGGTGTGACGCTTTGACCTTCTGGGGAACCACAAGATGGTGTGGTATCCTAGGACTACGGCCTCCTGGGCAGCAGCAGCCTGAGGAAAGGAGAAGCCACTGCTGGGGGCTGGTGGTAAGAAGAGTGGTCCCAGGAATGGCTGGCAGCCCTGGACAGCGTGGGGTAGCAGGGTAGCGCATTCTTAGAGCTCTTTCTGCAAATGGCAGTAGGGTACCTGCCAGAAGGAAGCTGAGTCATGAGTGGCTCTACGGTCTTGGCAATGTGAAGGAGCTGTCCTCCAGCTGCTGCTGTCCGATCCCCACCCCCAGGACCATAGTTCTCCCTTCCCTCTCTGTTGGGGAAAACACTCCAAGTTTCATTCCTGTGTTAGGTTATGTTAGGTTAGGGAAACATCTGGATCTTCATATAGGACCTCAGGCCGAGATAGTCTGTTGAGGTTGCCCCTGTATGGACTCCGGGGAATGGGATGCTATTTGCCCCTCAACTCAGACACTAGGAAGGCCTCTGGAAAGCTCTCTCAGCCCTAGGCCAGGTCCCCAGTTCAGGAGAAAGCTGAACCCCAAATCAGAATCCTAGAGGTGCCCTTGTTTCCAACCTAGGGGCTGCCCCTTGGGAGTTGGCATGGGGGTACACAGGGATGCAGGACAAAGACATCACAGGCCCATTGTGCTCAAGGGTGGGGCTACCTGTATCCACCCTCTGTCTGCCCAAAGCCCCTGCCCGAGGGCACTCCACTTCAAGGCAATGCTTTGGCGGCTGCTTAGCTCTGCTGAATCCAAGTCCCTTTGATCAGCCGGAAGTCTGGGCATGTCTCCATACCCAGGCCAGCTGAGGAAGGCCTACTCAGGTGAGGCGGGGCCACCCATATGGGCTGCAGCTCTGCCCCTGCAAAAGCCCACTTCTATTTCTCCACCTTAGCACCCCAGCAGGAGCTGGTCCATAACACTCAGCTCTAGGCTGGGCTGGGCTCTGCCTCCCGGGAACTGTTTTCCTGCTCTGCTGGCCTCACTCTGGGCTTGGCCACTGAGGAGGGGGCGAAACCTGGACACGAGCATCCAGCCAGGTCTGACGTGTCTGGACAGAGCTCTCCACGTCCCTGATGGGTGCACCGAGACGACGTGCAGGCAGTGTCAGGGCCCTGTTCGGAGCTGGCCTGACCTGCTGGGCCCATTCTCCCTCAGTGTGACCTCTACCTGCCTTCTCTCCATCTCTTCCACCTGGACTGCGGTCGGCTTCTGGTTTGTTTCTTCCGCCGTTCCCACGACCTGACTGGTCTTTCTATAGCCAGCTTCAATCAGAAACCTGCAGGGACTCTGCTCACAGAGCTCAGCCT